TCTTTTTAAAGATGTTTTGCCAAACAGTTTCAAATAATAATAGCAGTGGGATTGGAAATGGTATTTATGGATGAGAGACTGGCATTTTCTCTCTTTAGGCTTGTACTGTTCCTGTGAATAGTATTTTACAATTACTAAAATTTAATAGAATTGCATCATGGAAGTGTCTGTATGTAAATACTTTTAGTGTTCTTTGTAAAGTATAAAATGTTTGAAAGTGAACCAAACCTTACATTTTCCTCTTTGTTTTCGAACAGCCCTGAAAAACCAGAAAGTGTGAAAATAGAAGTGGAAAAATCGCCTGTTGTGAAATATGTGGATGCTGAAACATCTTTATAGAACGGAACCAAGAGGAATTGTGTGTATTTGTGTGTGTATATATGTATCACTGTAGGATATTATACCATGGAAGTGTGATTTCCAATTTAAGGAGCAACATATATTTAATTCTGCCATTGTTTAGGGCACTGTAGATATGCTTGCATAATGCGAAGATTTTTCCAACAAGTAAGATGAGTGGTAATCACACTTCAGCTATTTATTTTATTGGAAATTTTATTTTAATTTTTAAATAGGAAGACTGTAATGAATGCTTATTATTTTCAATAATCAATATGTGCATAAAAGTTACATCAGCTTTTGCTGATGGTTACTGGTCCACATGGCTTAAAGTTTTGCAATACCTCTGTTTATAATGTGCGCTACAGAAGTTTGTTTTCCATGCAGGCAATTAGTGCTTGTTTTTTGCAGGGTATACTTTTTTTTGTGGTTTCATAGAACAAATATTAATGTGCTGTTGACAAGAACTGCTGTGGTTTATGTCTCCACTCCATGCTAGTGTTTTCTGGAATCTATCTCTCCTATTCTACAGAAGTGGCCTAGAGCCCTAAGTCAGATGGTTAGTTAAGCCTTAAAATATATCTAAATACCCTGGTTTCCTGCTTTCCCTTTCTTTTTTTTTTTTTTTAATTATGTCTTGTTTTTTCATTATTGTTCAGTAGCAGTATGAGTGCAGTAATTGTAGTTACAGCCCCAAGTCAGTATTTGCCATTCTGGACACTCCATGTTTACACAATATAATTTGAATTTACAGACAGCAATTTGATCTCTACGAAGTTATACATACTTACCACAACAGTACACTTGAATTCTTTTCTTCTGGTTTTTACTTGCATTTTTTTCTATTAACTTGCAGAGTCTGATTTACTTAGCTCTAAGAATGAAATACTCTAAAAGTTTCATGTCTTCATCAAATATATTTCTTGGGTTTTAAATTTACTGTGTATTTGATTAAATTAGCTGTAGTTTAATTCTGGAATAGGTTTATGATCAGTATTATTTTATGGATTACTAATTGCTTGTGGTATTTGTGTGTACAGTTCTGATCCTCTCCATTGTAAAGGGCATATATGATATCACACCAACTTATTTTTAAACATTTTATTTATTTTAATTAGTATAAATTTTTATCATGTACAATGAATTGAAGAAATAAATATTCATTTATTAAAGTAAATGGGATTTTTGGGGGGCTCTACGGATAAAGATACAGTCAGTGTGCATTTATTATACTTAACATTTTCAAGTTCTAGAGTTTAGCACTATAATATTTGAAATAATGAGAATTTTATATATAAATGAAAATCTTGATCACTTACCTGCGCAGTTTCCATTGTTAATACTTTTTGCCTTATACCTTAGGGGGGTTTTTTGTATTTACTTTCCATCTCTTTACATTCTGTATTGCCACTAGACCTTTCTGGATGTATTGCAATGGCTTTAATTAGAATCTGTGCTCATTTAAAATTAGGAGTTGCTGTTTGCTATTAAGCAAACTGTTGGCAAAATTGGGAGTTTTATCATGGACCAGTTGAGGTGGTCCAGCAAAAGGAGCTGATTCTGGAGGAAGGCAGACTTTATCTGAAAATACCACTTGAGGTGGAATTTTGGCGTGCTTCAGCCAAGTGTCACCTCAAGAGAAGGTAATTGTATATTACAAAAATAAAGCAATCAGTGGGAATAAATAGAAACATTTAAAAATAGCATTTACATTACACGGACTGTTACTGTTCCCTTTAAATGTAATGTAATTATTTAACATTTTTCTTCCTTTTTTTTTTTTTTTTCCTTTTTTCATTTGACTGAATTCCAAGAAGACAGTTTAAAGAAAGGAAGTTGTAGTGTACAGCAGTATGAATAATGGTATCCAAACTGTCATAACAAAGGCTCAGGTCAGTGGCAAAGCAAGTGAGGTCTGCATTAGCAGTTTGACCAATACTGTGTAATGACCAGTGTTCTTAGATAATAGTGTAGCTTGTGCCTTGGTTTGAGTTTGTGCTCTTTTAGAAAATAATCCATATTTTCCCTCTGATCAAACTGAAATACAATGAAACTACAGCAGATGGTTTCCCAAAACTTTCTATGTTATTTAAAAAAATAAAAAGCACATATCTGCATGTCAATTGTTGACTACTAAGTAGCTCTTGCTGAATCAAAGAGAGAAGATATTTTGAGCATTTTAGGTAACATCGTCCACAACGCATTACTTTTGTTCTAGTCCTCTCAGCAGTATTTTACAGTTAATGCTCAGAGTCCTACAACAGTTTCCAAAGACACAAAAAATTACTATAAACCTCTTGGATTTCTAACTCTTTAATGCTGGAAATCAGGGTTCTGTGGTGCTGCACACCTTGTATCTGGCTTCTACTTTGGGAAGGTTAAGTTTAGGTCAATATTACCGGAAGTGGATATATTTCTAGTAAAGTAGAAAGGAAACAAAACCAAAGGCCCACAAGTCTAATCACAGTATTTATTTATTGTGTAGATATTTTAATCAGTGCCAGAAAGACCATAACTTGGCAAAACAGTTTACAGTAATCTTTAGTTCCAGTATTCCTGGGCAGTAGTAGCACGTTATACTTGCACTTTTTCCCCATATGAACAGGAGAAGATCTGGTATTAAGTGCATAAATCCTTATTGATAATCCATGGTTAAGTGATTCGCTGCTCATTTTACACCTTCTCTGCTTTAAAATCACGCATGGTATTAAAATAAAATGGCTAAGAATGTAGATTCTATTTTAGATGTATGTTTTGCCTTAATGGATGCAAAAGAGCAGTGATAATTGCTGTGCACTGATTTTTTTTCATAGGGTTTAAGCCCTGTAAAAACTACGCCAATGTATTTCCATTCCAACAGTCAGAGAAAAATAAATAACCCTGCACTTTTTTTAGATGCCTTCGTTTCCTGGAATGGAGCTTAGTGCTACTGTGTACCTGGCTGCAGAGCCACCTCAGGAAGTCCCTCTTTTTTTTTTTTTTTTTTCCTTTTTCTTTTTTTTTTTTTTTTTTTTTTTTTTTTTTTTCCTAATTTATTTAAAAATATGAATGTTTACATGAAGTGTAGGTCTTAATTTTGACCACTCCATTTAAATTATCATCTAAAATGTATCACTTAAAATGCAGTTGCATGTTTAAATTATATTCTAGACAACTCATTCTTACTGTTTTCATATGTATCACAGTGACATGTTTCTCATTCTGTTTACATATGCCCAGGTTAATGACAATTTCTTCCTAGATTAATTTTGGAGTTATAACATAATATTTTTAAAATTTTTCTGTGAAATGTTCCAAATTGCCAAGTTTGTCATCATAAAACCTTTTAGGGTAGAATTTGGTGCCCTAATTGTGTTTTTTTCCAACGAAGTATCTTGGCTATTTTTTCCACATTTAATGAACGTTCTCCCGTAAGTTATCATTTGCTTCATTCACTTGCATCTCTGTCTGTATACAGTAACTTCCTAAAGGCAGGTTCAACAGGCTGTAAAATATATCTGTAACAAATAGTTGTCACATCACAGAGCCTGCACCATTCTAAAGGGTTTGTCTTGTACATATGTTCTGTAAATCATAAGGTAAATGGTTCATGACTTTCAGTTCACAAATTTAGTCTGTCAGATGAGCACCACAGTGAGCTTAGTTTTCTTTTTGCTTTTTTATGATTAGTAATGTTTTAATTACTCATCTAGGACAAAATTATCAAGTACAGTACAAATGTGTGAAATATTTTCTTTATACCAACAGTAATTTATTTTATGGCAAATTTTAAGACTATAGAGGCACACAGCTTTGAGTCAGCATAAATGTAGTGCTATAAATAAAGCAAATTGCTCAGTAAGTTTAAGTTGATTTTATTTTATAATGTTTTTAGTGAAAACCTCTAGAACTTTGTAGTTGGCATTGAAGTTAACCTAAAGACACTTTCATATTGAATTTAGTATCTGTTGACATTTATTTGGAATAATGAATAAGTTTGAAAATGGATACTTTTCTAAATTATTTTATTGGAAAGACACATCATTTATAGTATTTTCTTTTCTATCGTTGCTGATGGTCCTGTGCAAAAGTGTCTTCCAGGTTCGGCTTCTGCAGCTGAACTGAGGTTTTGATTTTAATACTCTTTATTTGAAATGTGACTACATACTGTACGGTTTGAATTTTTTACAACTGCTTTTCTAATTACAGTGACGTTTTCTTACTTTATAACCAAATCCAAAGCAAATGAAAACATTATTCCAACTGTAGAATCAAAATTCAGTTTATACAGAAAACACAACTCTCAGACTTGTCTTTAATGTGAAAGATTCAGCCTTTGTGTTGTTTTAATTACTGCTAGAATAAAATTATCTTTTGTAACATTTCAGAAAGTTGGTAAAAGCAATAAAAAAATCTCCTGGACTCTATTCAGGTCGTTTCTGTTTTTATTGCCCGGGACCAGGGGCCTGAAGGTGCCGGGATCTGACCCTGCGGGGAGGGTTCGGCCATGGCGTCCCCGTGCCCATGGCAACGGCGCCGGGCGGAAGCGGTAGCCAGCGTCCCCCGGGGCTGCGGAGCACGACGGCTCGCGATAGGCCGGCGGGCCCGCTCGCTGCAAGAAGAGGGGAGACGATTGGCCGCGGGGGCCCGTCCGGGCGTAGGGAGCGTCGCCGACGCCGGGACGCGGAGTGGAGCCGAGCGCGCGCCGCGGCGTGAGTGGGAAGGGGCGGGTGGAGCGCGCGGCGCGCTGAGGGGCCGCGGGGAAGCGAACGGGAGGGAAGGAAAGGCAATATCCCCATCTGTCTCCCATTCCACTTGATGACGTCTTCCCCAGCCCTGCACCTTTGCCAGTTCTGAGCGTTCAGGAGGCATTAGACAGCCTCTCGTGATTCACAAAGGCTCCAAGTCATAGCGGTGTAATTCCCCATAAAGGTCTGCCCGGTAGCAAGGGTGGAGAGGATGAACTTCACAGAGCTACATGTTATTCCTGAGTTGATACTGAGCTGCTCGTTAGACCTCAGAAATCCGGGTTTTTTTCTCCACTCCCCCTCCCCCTTCATCCGTGAACTGCAGATTAACAGGGTGGATTTAGGCAGACTACAGATAAAAGTTATGCTGTGGAAAATAGCCCAGAGACTGACACTGCGTGAGGTCAGGAATCTGAGAACAGGCCTGTCCATTTATGGCTCCACTGGAACTGAGGTACTGCAGAGGGGAAACAAAAAAACCAATCAAACCCAAACCAGCAGAAGCTTGAATACTCTGGAAAGCAGGAACCTTACATTGGATTCTAGTTAATCTTTAGAGAATCCCCGAAGGAGTTATTAAATAAAATTTCTGATAAATATATATGCATGTGAAAGTTGTCATATATAGCAAACACAGATTTCCATATTGATTCAGTCAATAAAATGAAAGAAATACTCTTCAAACGTTGTCTGTATGGGTTCTTCAGTACAATTTCCTAGACACAGACTGTGACTGGTGGGGATCTATTTATCTGACTGTGGTGTTCTCTGAGAACAAGAGGGGAAGACATCCAGACTTCCCTTTGTTTCCACCAGACTAGAGAGGAAAAGTACCTTTTGGTAACTTTTCATCATCTTTGATGCTTCCTTTGCCATCACTTTGACCATATTTGGAATCAGTTTCTATTTTGACAGTAATATACTGATAAATGCTCTTTTAAGGAGTGAATTTTCATCTGACCTTCATCTGACCCAGTTTATGGTATTAGATACATTCCTGTCTAGCAACAACATCAAAAGTTTTACTAAAGCCAAGATATAACGTATCTACTGTTTCTTTATCCACCTTAAGCCAATTATCTTGTGTATGATTAGATAGTGGAACTCAGCCACTGGAGCGATTAAGGAAGGAGTTCAAGGGTAAATCCATCAACTAGTTGGCTTACAAACTGTCCATATCCAGTAGTTATTGCCAATAAAGATTATAAAGAATGTGAGATATCTTCTTTTTGAAGAGAATGTTACACTGTAGTTGTTGTTGGTAGATATATCCTCCAACATGTCTTTGTGTTTTTGTTTATTTTGGGGTTTCTTTTCACCTTCTGAAGCTTATGTGTTTAAGTCATCTGAGATGGATACTGGATTGGGCCACAGATCAAGTCTGGGATAATTCCTTTGTCTCCTGTTTCTCATCATGTGGATTCTTTCATTTCTGACAGGATTCTTTGAGCATTTCTTGTCCTATCCTGCATTCCAGTGCTATCAGAATGCATCTCTCTTCCTATGTAATTAAATGAACATAACTAATTACATGTAATTATCCCCAGTTAAAATGAATTAATTAATATTGCTCTCATTGTTTTAAATGGAATGAAATAAGACTGTAAAGACATTTTCCTTTTAATGTGTTTCTGCTCTTTTAAAGAGTTGTCTGATCCCATTTTTTTTCTGGCACAACCTAAGTGAGTGTTGTTTGGTTTGTTTCTTACACATTACTCATGGCTGGCTTAATAGCAGGCGGATAGTTATGAGGATAGTGAATAGCCTGGCTTCATGGAAATTTCTACTGGCATGAGTAAAGAAGAAACAGAGGGGTGGGAACTTATCCAGCAACTTCAAGAAAGTCAAATAAGTGTGAGAATAGTTAAGGAATATTTAATGTCTGTTTTCTCTCAGGTTTTTGGCTGACAGAAGGAAAAGAGGGGGTTATTTCCTTTTGTCTACCCCTCACTCAGGGTGTGGTGCTAATATACCTACCTGATTTAATGACTGAGGAAAGAGACTTTCTGCTCTTCTCTCGATTTACACCCGTGCCTTCCTGCCATTCAGCAGAGATACTCATCAGGCTACTGTAACAGTGAATTAAAATGGTAGAAGAGTTACTATACTTGAAGGGAAGCATATTGTTCCCTTTCTCTAAATTGGCTCAGGTTGGGTCACATCAGCTGAAGAAGAGGACAGTGGCTGAGGCTGGGAAGGGAAGGAAAGGGGAAAGCTATTTTCATCAGCAGGTGGCTGTTAATGAATCGGTTTAATCTCTGTAGTAAAGCTGAAGGGCACAGCACTTTAAGCTGCATGGATAAATGCTCCTTTCTGGATGTTGTCCCTGCCCTTGTACAGCAGAAGTACTTGGGGACAAGCTGCAAGGTAATAGGGGTTAAAATAGGAGAGTTTATTCATAACCTGAATCAGGTTTCCCGGTCCAGTGAGCTGTGCATCTATGGTGATGCTCTGCTGACAGACCAGAGAGGTCTGTCTCTATGAAGTAGAGAGGTAACACCAGGGTGAGTTCTCAGGGCTGGGTGAGGGCTCTATCCTTGAGTGAACTACATCCCTTCATTTTCAGGCAGCAGTGCAGGGAATTTGGCTTGATGTTTGTGAGGTTCAATTTTGTATAGAGACTTTTGGATCTGTAATGGCAATGGACCTTAAAAATATTAGTCAGCTGTTCCTCTGTTTCATCTTTACCAAGGTACAGTAAACAGCAAAAGCAGTGGACTGGCAGCCCTAAAGCAAGGTTGATCTCCAGCTGCAAAATGTAAATAATCACAGACTTAACAATTTTGGATTAAATCCTAGACATACTCGGAATCCTGCTGTTTGTGGTCTAGAGATTTAACCCAAGGATTACTTTTTTTCATGGGATGCTGAAAATTTTAAAGATTTAACTCTGTTTGCTCATGGACAAGTTGTTTGTGTGTGGTTTTGTTTGGTAGTTCTTTAATTGGTTGAAATCTGTTCTTTGTGAAAACATACTTGTGATCAAGTTGACAGTTTGTGAGTTTCACGCTTTTTCCTACTGTACAAATGTGAGGTGCTTGTTGCATCGTGTCATGCCTCAATAATGTCCCAAATAGACTGGTGTACTGGGGAGATGATATAAGAACATCATTAAAACAATACATGGAAATTCTTACTCACTCTTAACCATGTTTAACAGTGGACGTGTCTTCTCTTACCTTTTAATGCTCTTGAAGCAGAGGAAATAAATGCTTCGAGCTAACTGCATTTGGTTAAATCTGAACTCAAGAATTTTGTCTACTGACTGTTAGAACAGATCCTGTTTATATTCATTCCTTGGTAATAACTGGTGCCACAGAAGTGTTCTGAGGTGTTTTTTAATAACCTTGTTGAGTAGATGCATGGGAGAGAGAGAGATATTTCTTGTGGATCCAGATCAATCGTTCTCTACGTGGGGACTAGTGGTAGGATAAAGGCTTGTTCAGAAGACTAGAAATGAATGAACTGGGCTTACAGGCCGCTTCCCAGAGTGATTTAATACAGTGCATGAGTTCATACTGTCAGCAGTTGCAGTTTGGGTACTTCTGCGATACAAAATTGTATAGTTGGAAAAAATATGTTCATTTGGGAAAGAGCAGCTTCTGGTAGTTTACAATGCTTTTGTTCCTAACTGGTTTTCTTCTTCTTCTTTTCAATGCTTTTGTTCCTGACTGGTTTTCTTCTTCTTCTTTTCAATGCTTTTGTTCCTGACTGGTTTTCTTCTTTACCTTTATGAGGAAGAGGGATAAAAATCAGTAATAGAAGAATTCTACACTGCAGGAGGCTGTCATGTTTCATATGGAAAATCATATTAAAGAGACACCAAAGGCAACATCCAAACGGTCTGTATTTAGCGAATAGTAAAATGGGTAGAAAGGATGAGACAGTAGAATTATATCCTCGTTTTTTAAATTGGAAATGCTCTACCAATGTTACAGCTGTATCCAATTCTCTAGGATAATTTTACAAACTCAGTCTGTTCCTGACCATCCTTTTTTTTTTCTTCACTCAGAGCAGGATCTGCATCAATATAATTACTTTTGTAGCAGCAAGCGATTCCCCTTGAATATACTCTTTCTGTATCTTTCTGTCTCTTTCTAGGGCTTTATAAGATTTTCAGTGAACAAATGTATGCTGTGCCAGCGACTAGCTGAGGGCTTTTGTGGGAAGTCAGACCTACATGTATGCTTGACTGCAGGAATTTAATAGATGGTAACGGCCAGTTGAGCTCTGCTTGTCTGTGGAAATAAGCTGTGTGTCCCACTGCAAGGAATGCGGACACTCTTGGTATAAGGCATTCAGCTGAGATTCAGAAGACCTAGTTCTAAACTACTGAAAATTTCTGTTATTCTTTGGCAGACTGATTGTAGATTCATAGAATGGTTTGGATTGGAAGGGACCTCAAGATCATCTAGTTCCAAGTCTACATGTCAGTAGACCTGGTTGCTCACAGTCCTGTCTGACCTGACCTTGAACACTTCCAGAGACGAGGCATCCACTACTTCTCTGGGCAACCTGTTCCAGTGCCTCCACCCTCACAGTAAAGAATTTCTTCCTAAAATCTAATCTAAACCTATTCTCTTTCAGTTTAAAGCCATCACCCTTTGTCTTATCATTACACGCCCTTGTAAAAAGTCCCTCTCCTGCTCTCTTGTACTTTAGGTACTGGAAGGCTGCTCTAATGTCTCAAGTTTTCTCACCTCCAGGCTGAACAACTCCAACTCTCTCAGCCTGTCTTCACAGAAGAAGTGCTCCAGCCCTCTGATACAAGAGCCCGGATTTGAGCTACAAGCTCATTGAAGGAGTTTTACTTTAAAAATATACAAGGCTCCAAAAGTCCACTCGTTGGATCTATTAAAAGGGCCTTCAGTCCTTTTAATACCTTGAGAGAGCACACGGGAGAAGACACTGCACACGTTTCTCAGGAGGTCAAACACACTTTTACTGGCAATCTTTAGACAATAAGGGAACTTGGCAAAAATTTAAAGGGCGACATTCAACCGAAACAGAGCATTGACTTAGTACATGCTAACTCATACAATTTAGCAAAATCCAACCCATCTGGCTTTCAGTTAATCTCCTTTCTTGATACTTGGGTAAGAGAAGAAGAAGTAAAAAAAGAGAGAGAAGAAGAGAGAATTATAGCCACCACCCCATATCCAGCATAGATCCAGCTACCAGTAGTCCAGGAGATGGCAGGGCTGTGACCATGTGATGGCCACATGGTGTTGGTTTTATCTGCTCAGGCCTCCTGTGGCCACCCACGGCAGGTGGGACTTCTGGTGTGACAGCCATTCTGGGGCTGGGTTAGAGACTCCAGGGAGTGTGGCATTGGGCAGTGCTCCAGGGCTGCCCAAGGAGGCTCGAAGGGGTGGGGTGTGGAATGGACTCCACTTCACCTTTGTGAAATTTGACCTGTCCCTTCTGCCCCTCCCCCCCACGTTTGATTTGGTCTGAGACAATAATAATATAATAATCCACTATCTCGCACTGATCATCATCATAGCCCCCCTCTGCACTCACTCCAACTGGTCCATGTCGTTCTTCTGCCAGGGGCCCCAGAGCTGGATGCAGTACCTCAGGGGGGGTTTCCCAGGAGCAGAGTAGAGGGGGAGAATCACCTCTCTTGACTTGCTGTATGCATCTCATTTATTTGTAAGATACCTCCTTTTTCTCCCCTTTGTTCAACTTGTTTATTTGGATGATAAAACTGTTATATTCTCTGTTGTCTGGGCAACAGCTTGTTTTTGACAACCTTGATGTTAGCCTGTAAGCACTGCTGTGACATAAATAGCCAATCCATGGTGAGAAATGATGGTAATAAGATGAAAGAAGAGGAAAAATCCTAATAAAAATACATGCAATAGCAAGACAGCCAGTATTATCTACCCATGTGTTAATATCTGGAATTCTGAAGGATATCCTGATATAATGCCCAAGGTTTCATGCTGAGAAAATGGTAAAGCTTGGGGTTTTTTCGTAAAGTTCTGTCAGTTGGTTCTGTAAGTAAACATGTGTTCCTTTTGCTGTGATGATATAATTCTTTGTATCTACTTTATTTTTAAGGAAATGACTTTTTAGCCACATAACGATAATTGTGATACACAATGCCTGATCAGGACAAAAAGTTGAGTAGCACAGAAAAAGCAACAGACAAAAAACCTCATGGGATCTCTATGAGGTATAGTATCTGACGTTTTACTTTGAACTTCAGCAGGACTCGCGTGGAATTTGCACTGGCTGCCAAAGCAGAATGCTTTAATTTGAAATGCAATGTAAACATGACAACTGTTACTCTGGTCACAAAGTTTATTTACACCTTTGTTGATTTAAGTCATTCTGGAGAATTTGTAAATTCACAAAATGGGGACGCTAGGCAACACCAGAAAACTTTATTTTCTGCCAGTAGCATTGTTGCTTGTTGACCTTCTTTACTCTTATGGAAATACTTTTATGTAACTATTAGCACATGTCTTTATGCTATCGTGTTTTTTCCTAGGGATTATTCTGATCTGAAAAAACTTCAGTCTCTCTTGAATGTTCAGTCAAGGAACCAACAGATATTTTTCAATAACTGTTATTAAACATGCTTTAGAATTCTAATTAATGGTGATTACGGTTTGTGGCATATACTTAGAACATCGTGTTCTATTATGATTAAACTTTTTTTTTCCAGTGTTAGACCTACTGTGTGGGACAAATCCCATTTAGAACGGGTAAAAGAAAGAAACTGCTCCTCTTCCCATCTTACAACACCATATCTTTTTTATTCTAATGGGAAAAAATGGCTTTGTTTTGTATCTTGAGCAGGTTTTATGCAGCTGTTGTTGCATATAGTCAAGTAGTCTAACAGATTTGTTCTCCTCCGTGCCCTTGCCACAATGTCACAAGAAGGTAGTCTTAGAGATGTGTATGTTACAACAAAGGGGAGAGTGTTAAAGAATATAAAATAAGATCAGCATTTTAACCATAAACAGTTTGTCTTTGGAGAATAACACTTCAGCTAAAAATATTCAAAGCATAAATATCAATGCATGAAACTTAGAGAACACAGTAAAGTCTCCTTAATCTCAACCTAAAATAAATGTGAAAGCTGTGCAATTGTAGAATTGGAACAGGTAAGGAGCATAGATAATGAGTGTGTGTTGCATATTTTGTTGAGTTTTGCTGTTATAAATTTTAAAAGACACCATTCTTCACATTTTGTTTATGTACTTGTTTTCCGGTCTGGCTTTGCATCAGTTTTCTGCCACCTCAGTTTTGTTTTGCAGGGGTTGTGCGTATTTTATGATGGGAAGTTATAGGTCTGAAGTTCAAGTCAGAACTTGAGAAAAGGTACTTTTGCTTGATAATATTCTCATAAAACTTAAAATGCAGTGTTTGCCTAATGATGACTATCCCTTTCCTCCTTAGCTTCCAGCTATACATTTTGAAAGTGTTCAATCCAGTGTGACAAGAGCTTGTCAAAATGTGAAAAGCAAGGCACAAGAACCCAGTGGTCAATGGGAAGAATCAACAGAAGCTGCTGAGCTTGAAAAATTTTGGTAAAAATAAAAAAAAGCTAATATGATGGCACACTTGTTTCTCCGAGTATCTTTACATTCTTGTATCTAAAGCTTATTGAGGTGTTGAAGGCATTTATATTTGTACTTATGTTTGTTACTTGTATTTTGATATTAACCCAGTATTTGAGATGCAAATGATGTATTTTTAACTTTCTAAACCTAACTGTGAATGTTTCTGCCTTTGTAAGTTTCAAACACTTACTCCCACTCAACAGAGTATACTGTTGAGAGTTAATATACTCATTTTAAATAGTGATAATTTCTTTATTTGGAAAACTTATACCATTAGAATAGTCCCAAAGTATGCATGAGAAAGACTGTTCTTCCATACTGTTAACGTCTGGCAATCTGAAATTGTGTTATTCCATGTTAACTGCTTATATGGCATTTCTTATTTTTACTTGCTAAAGTTATTTTTTGGCAATCTAAAATTATCTTGTGACAAGTTAATTTGCAATTCAGCATTTTCCTTTTTTTTTTTTTTTTTTAATCTCATTAGTGTGACCTACAAGAATGAGAGAAATTTTAGCAAACATCCCAAACACAGGCTGTTTCAAGATATCTTTATGGCTTTAGTCAAGAACAGACCCACAGGTCAGAATATCGAACACATTCATATCCGAGAAAGAGGTCCACTCTTTCTTGCCTTAAGCAAAGAATGAAGATGCATGGATAATGTTGTTTCAACAATGTATATGGCATATATGTTTCAACAATACAACTCTGTGTGGAAACCACCTGCTGCACATCTCTTCATAATCTCAGTTTTAAACAACTACTTCTGTATTGGTTTTGGGGAGCAAATGCTCAGGTTAGTGGGACAGAGTAAAGAAGAACTGAGTATATGATAAAACTTGGATGACCAAAATTCTAACAACTGCTATGTTTCCTTGATCATTTATCCATATCTAGTATCTGGAATCTACAATCTGCTTTCCTAATTTATTTTACTGATTTTATTTGGATTTTATGAACTGCTTACCTTTATAGACAGGTTAGTGGCTTTCATAAAATTCAGATGAGTTTCTGCCACTTGTTCATATTTATTTGTACTTGTGTGTATTATAGAATTAGAAAGGGAAATCCCTTTCTTATGCTACTCTCATTTAAGTAAGGAAAAAGTGCAAGACCTTAAAAAAGTAGTGGGGGCAGATAAAGATATTTTCTGTGAAAAAAAAATTTTTTTCAGGATTTCTTTTACTCTACTCCACTGCAGTGTGTTGTATTTTTATTTTTTAAAGCCCAAATATATTTTCCAACAAAAACTTTAAATGGTACAGAAGCTTAAAGGAGGAATCCTAGAGCAATTGAAAGTATTAATGTGTAACTGCTAGAATTTACAGAACTTAAAAAAAATCGCATAGCTTGCTTGGACCTTTATTCAAAACTAGCTGGGGAACTAGGGATCTCATCATTGATTATATAAGTGCCAGTGAATTTAATGCTGATTATTTAAGTGATTTATAAATCCAGTACCTCTTTTTTGCACGTGAACTCAGAACTCACCAGTGGGAGGTCAGTGTCTCAGCTTCATTTACCGGAAAATCTAAGAGTAGCTTACACTGTGAATTTCCAAGTTCTGTTTTTACATTGTGGCATGCTTGGCTTATATTTTGGTTTTCTTTGGTGATCCTTATTGTTAATAACGATATAGCAAAATCAGCCTCTTTTATGAAAAATGAAAGCACCCAGGTAAGATTAATGAGACAAGCATATATTAGTAGGTATGTAAAACCCATATGTCTTCTCTTTGGAACTACTTCCATTTCTTTGTGTCAGAGCCGTAGACTGTCACCTTGATTTGCATTACATGCTTTGGCTGGCATAACAATGTTGTTTGGGTGCAAGAAAAAATCACCCCTCCTTACTGGCATCACTGTGTGTGCAGAAGTCCTGGTTGCAGGTAGTTCTGTTGACAAGAAGGCTGTGATCAGCTTAGCTTAAGTAGTTTGGATAAGGTGCATAACTAAGGTTGAAAAAATCCTGCTGGTGTAAGGTGGATATACACTGGCATATCTAGTAGTGTGTGTTGTAAATGTCACCATAGTAGAAGAGGCTCTCAGATGTTAACCAGGCTCAGAGAATGACTGTCCACCATGGCAATATCTTCAGGTCACTTTAAAACCTGGCCTGCAAATTTTGCACACAGCTATATGGTTGCTGTTTTTATTCCATGAAAGTTTTGTGCTGTTCTGAAGATGCCAATTATGGAATCATAATGAAAAATAGTATTTCTTGAGGCAGAATATTGGCAGAGGGGCTGAGATTTTGTTAGCATCTATTTGTAAAACATTTATTTTTATCAAAGTATTTTTAGCTATTGGCATAATTCCTAACTGCTAATGATAAAATAGGAAGAGAACTGACATGTCCTATAAACTTCTTCTGTTTCTTGGAAATTTATCCAAACAAATTCTATCCTCTCAGTTAAAACAACAACAAAAACACACAGCAAAGATGTCTAATTTTAGGTTTATTTTAAATAGTAAGATGGGGTTATATACCTTCAACAGCCAATGGAAACTGTGATTCTGTTACTGGTATTTTATGCAGGATTACTGCCCCTGGGTACTTTCTGCAAATCTGCAAATTTGATTGTGTTTTCTGCCAAGCCTTGTGCTGGAGAACTGTATGGAGGAATATAAAGGGGGAAGTTCTATGTGGAAATGCAATCCTATTTCAAGAACATGTGAGCTATAGCTATTTTTAGTTCTATAGCATACATATTTTTACATAAGTGTATTTTGTACACTGAAGTTTGCTGTGTGGTTTCTCTCTTATTTCTGCCTTTTTGGGCCTTGATCCAAACACTTAAAGTATCTTTATATCAAAACACACTCAAGTTGTTCTTAGAGATAAGCATGTACTTTCCTGCATCAGTTCAGTGATAGTAAGTGATGACTGGCAATGCTCATATAATGAAATAAATTTATTTATAGCTGCTACTAGGTTTGAATATAAACAGTATTAAAGTTCTATGGTATGGTATGTTGAACAGTTGTTGTAGCTCACTAATCTTCTAGTCCATTGATTCCTGAATCAAACTGTTTTATTTGTTTAAACACTATTTTATTGAATTTGGTTAATGTTTTGAATATTTCTTTTACAGGGAGTGGGTTACTCAAGCTCCATCCACCCATTTTCTTAGAGTATTGATCTGCCTGAGATTATTAATAAGGGATCCATGCTGTCAGGTCAGTATGTCAAAATATTGTTTCTTGCTTGGATAGGAGAACGCATATAAGCACCATGCATATAAGCTGTGTTGATGCTTGTGTATAAAGACATTTGTTCTTATGAATGCATACTTATTATATGTATATGCCTATATTTCTGTATGTCAAGATGTGATTTGCAAACAAACAGATTCCAAGAGTGATTTTGCACTGTTATTGCATAACTTGCTCAATTTCTGGTATTTCTTATGCAGCATCTGTTGTTGCTAACCCTAACAAAGAAACTGTAAATCTCCCAACAGATGGATGGGTCATTCCACTGAGCCCTAGGCTCTGTACTTGACTTTATGTAAAATATGTAAAATTCCCATAATGTAGTAAGTGAAGAAAACTGAAAGCCATAGTTTTAAAACCTTTAAAATTTCACTTCTGTGTTTTTATCTACTTATTTTAAGTAATTCTTAACTCTGAAGGTGCTAAGCATTTCAAGCGTCCATTAACTTTGACCACTGGAGTCAGAATTTCTCAATAAACAAACAAAGTTTGTTTCCAGGACAAACAAAGCATTTATGTTCTAGTGTTCTCTTTTTTCTGGTGTTTTCCATATTTTGACTAATTTTTAATTTTTTTTTCCGTCTTCCTGTAGGAAATGCTTTACAGCTTGGGTGGAATTGAAAATCTAGCTCGGGTAGAATTCATCATAATACCCTTGCCCATTATGTTTGCATGTCAGTTTATTATGTTTGGAACGAAATACACTGCAAAAAGCAGTGTCCATATATTCCTGGTTTATGGAACAAAGAGAGTCCATTACTCTGCACATAAGCAGTTGGTGTGGTCTTTTTCATTAGTGTACAAAACTGTACAAAGCAACTGCCCTTATATACTACTGCATTACAGAACATTTTTTCATGAGACAGATGCACCACCTACAGGCTATTTCTGTGCATAACATTCTGGGTTTATGAAGTCTTAAAACTTTTTTTTTACTTGTATTCTTTATTTTTTCTCTACTCATAGTGTATGGAAATAGTAGCAAATAGCTGTCTTAATTACGGAGAGGAGCAGCATAATGTAGACAAGTTGGTCAACATGACATGTAAGTGTTATAGCTGATAATTTAAAATCCTACTTCTTTCTTGGTGCTAATACAACTTTGAGAGTTGCATGGGGAACAAGATGAAGGAACTCACTTGGGTTAAAAACAGAGGAAGAAGATTTGCAGCTCATTCAGTTATGTGCCGAGGAAGTCGATCTAAGTGACCTCTAAAGGTTTATACCATTTAGTGTCAAAGGACCCTTGGTTCAGGCATTTGGGAACCTTTTGCTTCTGCTGTAATTGCCTCTACCTGTCTGTCTTGTGTCCTTGCCTCAACTTACAGCCTTGGTAGCAGTCTGCAGTAATTCTGGTAGCAGATAGAATGTGCTTATGATTCAATGGCTCTATTACACCATCTAAAACCTTAGCTTAAGTCTACCTTCATGAACAGTTGAAGAAAACATGAAGAAAACTGCAACAGAGCCTCAGCAGAGCTGGCATGTATTTCCTTCAACTTTGCTAGAGAGGAGTTTTCAACAGGGAGCTTATCAAGTAATTGGGAGCAGTATTCTTAACTAAATGAACCAGTACCCATCTATCAGACCAACACTGTGGATACATTAATGGAGGACACATGGTTGTATGAAAACAGAAGCTGAAATCAGTATGATTTTCACAAAATCCTGCTGAAGGCACAGACTCCTCAGGCTATCACTTTTGGTGTTTCTCCAATTTGTATTTATTGAGACTGGATTTTTTGTTCCTGACAATTCAGAATATTCACATGGTGACAGATCTGTTGCTGCAATTTCTTTCACCTCCAGAGATGGAAGCATTGCTTCATTATCCGTTCAAAAGCTCTCTTTGCAGTATCAGTTTAAATGGAACAGTGATTTAATTCTTTCGTAGATTTAAGTAATTTGAACTTATATTTTAGGTGTGCAATAGGATGTTGAGAACTTGTCTATTGGGATTAGCTTCTGATTTATCTGAAGCAACACTGATTCTTATTGGTGGTTTCTGTGCAAAGGAGCACTATTAATATTGACCTTTCTCGGTTTCTAGGCAAATGGAATATATACAGTAGCAAAGCTGATTTTACCCAACAAAGAAAGGAATGCTGAAAAAGCCAGTTTATTACACGTAACTGTAATTATTATGATTGGACATTGAAAGCCCCAAACCATTCCTGAGATTTTTTTATGAATTGAAGTTTATTTTATAGTGAAAAAAAAAGTCATACTTAAAGGGGACCCCTCATCCCCCCTCAAAACAAACCCAGGAATAACAAATGGCCCACAAACTAAAAGTTAAATTGTGCTTCAATTTCTGGTTTTGTGTTCTGATTTACTTTGTTTCTAAAGCCTTATATAGTGTAAAGGAAAGTGAATATTTTTTCTTGTGATAGTCTTTCCTCCAGTTTTTCAGGTTGCCCAGCATCAAATCTTCTCTATAGTGCCTTAATTGCCATTGAAACTTACTGTAAATTTGACACTGTACTAATATCTGTTTGTTTCTGGAGCATCCTACTGCAGCTGTTACATGACATATAGGAAAACAATCAGATGAAGTAGAAAAAATGTAAGTGTAGGATAAATACAGACCCACTAAGCATAGAATGGCTCTTGGTTTTGCATGTCATTACCCCCATAAATGTACTGGTTTGAGTCAACTTAGGCTAAAGGTTATCAGTAGTAATTAATTATCTGTTAGCTTTTCTCAGGCTCTGTGAAAATGTGGGTGTCTCTCTAAGCTATAGGAAAGTAGTGGACTGGGGTTCAGGGATAAACACAGCTGCTGCTGCTCTAGTTGCCCTTCTCTAGGCAAGTCTGAGAAAGTCCTTAGCACAGGTGGATGCAGTCAGGATCCTGCCTCTCACCTGCTCTTTGTTCTGGCATAGCCTTACCCTAACATGGTTACATAGCTACTCAACTATCTAATCAGGTAGGCATACTTGAATAGTAAGGGAAGGCATTTCCACAAAAAAAGAATTTTGTTCTAGTGTCATCTTTCTCATTGCATTTCTTCTAGATTAGAGCTGGGGAGCTGATTCAGTGCAGTAGGTGTCTTTCTACTATGACAGAGTTTTATAGTGCACTTCAGTTAAATCATCTTAAGGGTGAGATAAATAAAAGTCTTCCTAAAGGATGTATGAAACTAACATTGAGTCTAATGAACTGGAGCATATGCACACTACAGTTGCCTCACAGAATTGTAAGGAGTTTAATTAGTGCCCACTGAGATTTTTAGATTGCAGCAGAATGTGCTGGAAATAACTCACAAGAGCTACTAAGCAACTGTAGCTGGGTTAAACATGAAGCCAGTGTGAATTAATAATGGACTTCATGATCACATATGAAAGCTAAATCTGTTTTGGGTAAACATTAAGAAGTATATTTTTATGAAACCTTATTCATATTCTCCCACAGCCATCTGTATTGCCTTTGTTATTGTTACTGCTATGAAATACAGTGGCAGCTATTGAAATACCCTTTTTTAATTTCTTAGGTATTTTTCTTAGAATTTTTTGAATGCTGGTCTGGTTTCTTTACTGCTCCATTGTCTATGTTTTCAGTGATTAAATTTTCAGCTTCTTTCTGCCGTGCTACCTTAGTGATCTTACTCCATGACTATGTTTGCTCAGCCAAACTAAAGATGAGTTGCATAAAAGCATGCATATTAGCTACCTGCCAGTGGCTGTTTTAAAAATAACCTTCCTTTAGAAAAGATCATATTGGAACAAAGATACATAAATATAGAAACTGAGGTACGTAAAGATTCCTGTAAATATGATGAATTTAGGATTAAAAAGTTGAGTGTTCTCTCTTTCTCACTCTTCTTTTTTTGTCCCCTGCTAAAACTTACAGTGTTCTACACTGTATTTTTCAGAAAAAATGCAAAATGCTTTTTCTACCGCAACATTACAAACCCACTGATTACATTTACATTTTTCAGCATTGGAGAAGAGATCAGTCTCAAGTCTTGAGCTGTCTGCAAACAAAAAGAGATGACTGAGATTTAGGTGTTCCTCAGCATGTGCTATTGTCACCAACTGTTTTTTTTGAAACATTTTTTTCCCCTAAATATTCCAGCATACTTTTAAAATACAGGAGGAACTTAAAATATTTTTATTCCCTTTGTTATCAGGTAAATAAGATAATCTATCTAGTCATTTAAATACCAAGTATACCAATGTGTAAAGTCGAGGGGAATCCTTGTTGTTTATCAATGGCTTTTCCACTTCTGTATAAATTTCTTATTAATTTAGTACTTTTTCTGTTGTAGTGTTATGCTTTCAGAGCCCTGAGATTTCTCTTCAGTATGGAAAGATATCGGCATGTTTTCAAAAGGTATGGTAACCAAGTGTTTTGTGAAACTCCTTTAGGATAGTTTTCAAAAGTCCAATCAGAAAGACCTATTTTTTAAATGTAATTTATTATCAACAGGAGGAAATAGTAATGGGCAATTTCTGTCCTGTCCACAGCTACACATAGCCAACCCTGCACTGCATCAGTGTGAGTCTACAAGATTTAGATATTCAATGTGGGGACTTGGGTGCATGCCAGACAACCTGGCTCTGCATGAGCTCCTTCTCCCTCTGTGGATCAACGTTTTAAATATGTTGAGAACAGATTCAATACTGCTGGAGATAAAACATACTTCTACCCTGAAGATTAGCAGATGCAAGTTGCAGCCCTCAATAGTAGCAATTAACTGGGGGCAGTAAAATTTTTTCTCTGAGCCCTCAATTCCTTCACATGGGAATGACTTTGCATCAAGCTGTTTTACTTAGGAGTGTTGTTGAAAGGTTTCGATCAATAAGGACAAAATGTTTTTCATCAATTACCCATTTTTACTACTAAGAGGACAGTTTCACCAGGTCAGCTGCAAAGGCCATGTGCAATATATACAGCTTGTCAGGAGGCAAATTTGAGCAATAATCTTTCTTCAAGAACTGCTACAGTTCAGACAGGCTTATATTCCTTTAAAATTGGAAAAATGGTGAGAAATTATATTTTTTTATCTATCAGTGAAACCAGATGCAATGTAAACATATGGCAAGCATCATTCTTCTTCTAAAAAGATCCAAAGTTTAGAATTGAAATGCTAAATAGGGAGAAAAGCTATAGTGAGTCGTAGGATGAAAGATACAGATTGCCCAGCCTCATTCTCTTAATTTTCTTTTATAAAGAGTTATCTACATACACATGCCCCCTGAGTGATTATCAGACAGTGATTTCCTTATAGTTGCTGTGACATAAATTGAGGAAAAAATGAAATACCAGGGAGTAGAGCCATGATTAAAATGTATTTGTCCGTACAAATTAAATTTTTAAAAAGTAAAAAATAACAGCTTCTAAAATATAACTTTACCTCAAATACTCTATTTTCAAATGCCTTCTGTATAAATATAATGTTCTATTAATTTTCTTTTATGTAGATGACAGATTGTACATAGTCATGGAGCTCATAGAGGGGGTGCCATTGGGAGAACACTTTCACTCTTTGAAGGAAAAACAACAACAGTTTACAGAAGACAGAATATGGCATATATTTATCCAAGTAAGGACCTCCATTCCTTTTTCCAGAACTTTCCTGCATGTAATTGGTAGCACCATTTTTTTAGGCTAATAAATGACAAACTAATACTTATTCTATCAGATGCTAATATCAGCTGTGAATTTAATTTTATATGCCTTTATTAAGAATCTTTGTAAGGTCCTTTCTGTTTGTTTTTAAGCTTTGTCTAGCTCTTCGTTATTTGCATAAAGAGGAGAGGATTGTTCATCGAGATCTCACTCCAAACAATGTCATGTTAGGGGATAAAGACAAAGTTACAATTAGTAAGTAGAACTGCTTTTCTCTAAGACAGTTTCTCATGATGTACCTGAGAAGCATTTCTTTACTGAAACTCTCAGAAGGTCTCGGTTTCCTGGGCCATTGGTCACCATACTTGGAAGCTAGTAAATTATTGCCTTGTGATCCTATAGTATCCAATGGTATGGGTTGAAAGGGGTCTTAAAGATAATCTATTTTCAATCCCCCTTGCTGTAGGCAGGGACACCTTCCACTAGACCAGGTTGCTCAGAGCTCCATCCAACCTGACCTTAAAATCTTCCAGGGATGGAGCATCCATAACTTCTCTGGGCAACCTGTTCCAATGCCTCAGTGCCTTCACAGTAAAGAAGTTTTTCTAATATGTGATCTAAACCTATTCTCTTTCAGTTTGAAACCATTCCTCCTTGTCCTGTCACTACATCTTCTTGTAAAAAGTTCCTCTCCAGCCCTAATTGTATAGACTGGGAATGAGAAGCTGGAGAGCAGTGCTGCAGAAAGGGGTCCTGGTCTATGGCAAGTTGCATATGAGTCAGCAGTGCCCTTACAGCCAGGAGGGCCAACTGTGTCCTGGGGGGCATCAGGCAAAGCATTGCCAGCTGGTTGAGGGAGGGGATTGTCCCACTCTGCTCTGCACTGGTGCAGCCTCACCTTGAATATTGTGTGCAGTTTTGGGCACCACAATATAAGAATGATACTAAGCTATTAGAGAGTGTCCAAAGGAGGGCAATAAAGGTGGAGAAGAGTCTGGAGGAGAAGTTTTATGAGGAGCAACTGAGGTCTATTCAGCCTGGAGGAGAGGAGACTGAGGGGAGACCTCATTGCAGTCTACAACTTCCTCGTAAAGAGAAGAGGAGGGACCGGTGCTGGTCTCTTTGCTCTCATGACCAGTGACAGGACACGAGGGAATGGCATGAAGCTGAGATGGAAGAGGTTTACGTTGGATATCAGGAAAAGGTTTTTCACCCAAAGGTGTTATAGGCTGCCCAGGGAAGTGGTCACAGCACGAAGCCTGTCTGAGTTCAGGAAGTGTTTGGACAAGACTCTCAGGAACATGGTGTGATTGTTGGGGTGTCCTGTGCAGAGTTGCAAGTTGGACTCTATGATTCTGATGAGTCCCTTCCAACCTAGCATATTCTGTGATTCTATAATTCTTCTAGGCTTCCTTCAGGTACTGGAAGGCCACAATTAGGTCCCCCTGAAACTCTCTCTTTTCCGAGATGAACAAACCCAATTCTCTCAGCCTTTCCTTGTAGGAGAGGTGCTCCACGCATCTAATCGTCTTGGTGGCCCTTGTCTGGACTCACTCCAACAGGTCAATTTTCTTCCTGTGCTGGGGACCTCATAGGTGTTTGCAGTACTCCAGGTGGTGTCTCACCAGAGCAGAGTAGAGGGGCAGAATCATTTCCCTCGACCTGCTGGGTGCAGCCCAGGGTAGGGTTGGCTTTCACATTGCCAGCTCATGTCTAGCCTTTCATCCACCAGCACCTCCAGGTCCTTCTTGGCAGGGCTGCTCTCGATCTGTTCATCCCACAGCCTGTATTGATTTGGGGGTTGCCCCAACTCAGGTGTGGCACCTTGCACTTGGTCTTGTTAAACTGCATGAAATTCCCATGAGCCCACTTCTCAAGCTTGTCCAAGTCCCTTTGGATGGCATCCCATTGTTCAGGTGTGTCAACCACAACACTCAGCTTGGTGTCATCTGCAAATTTGGTAAGGGTGCACTCAATCCCTTCGTCTTTGTTATTAATGAAGATATTACCTAAGACTGGTACGAGTATGGGCACCTGAGGGACATCACTTGTCACTGATGTCCACTGGGGACTCTGAACCACTGACCACTACCATCTGGATGCAATCATCCAACTACTTTTTTATCCATCTATCAATCCGCTCATCAAATTTATCTCTTTTCAATTTAGAGAGAAGGATGTTGTGGGGGATTGTGTCAAAGGCTTTACAGAAGTCCAGATAAATGACACGTGTAGCCCTTTCCTTGTCCACTGACATAGTGACTCCATCATAGAAGGCCACTAGGTTGTTTGGGCAGGACTTGCCCTTGGTGAAGCCTGAATCGCTTCCCTGTCCTCCATCTGCCTTAGCATAGCTTCTAGGAGGATCTGTTCCATGATCTTCCCAGGCACAGAAGTAAAATAATTGCTAATACAAATTTTGTGTTCATTGCCACCAGGTATCATCAGCCATGACTATATTTTTTTGCAGCTATATATGTCAAATATGATGGAGGAGATGATTTAGCTCTAAAAAATTAAACTGTAGCTATGCTTCAGTGCCTGTTTTTATTTACATCAGCAAGAATATTGAAATAACCAGTTTACATAGCAAGTGCTAATGAACATACGAAGTAAAACAGCTGTCAATTTTATTCTATTCCAATTCTACCATGAAGCTGCTTACTATCCTTCAGTTGTTCCCAGTGATCAGCTGCAGTGAGGTGCTATTTGTCTAAGCCTGACTAGTGAATATTCTTGATGTATGCTTCTGTAATCACCACAGTGTGGAGGCGGGAGCCTAGGCAGGTTCTAGGATAGGCTTTGAAAGCAGTATGTGTGTGAACAGTACAAAGCATGGCATAGCTTTGATCTTTGAGTGAATCAATACAACCTGGTACACACAGCAAGTCTTACAGGCAATTCAGATCCTGTAGTTTTTAAAGTTCTCAGAGAACTACGGCATGCTTTCTTACTGCTCATGACACAGAAGAAAATAAACTATTTGAATGCTGCAGAATTGTTGTGAGAAGTCTTTATGCAAAATTCAATCTCTCTTCTTTAAATCTAACCGGAAGGTGTAGGTGTATGCACACATGCACAAAACAATCAGCTATAAATATTCAGCAACTGTTGTTTCATAGTAAATATTTTTACCTGATGATGTACGTACTTAAATTCATTCATTACTAAATTGTATGTGCCAAAAGCCCTCTGATTCATAGTAATGATATAGTTTTGAAGGAAGGTGATTTAATGGAGCTTTGAGTGATGAAAATAAATATTCAGAATATTAAAGTATCATATAATTGTATTTTATATCATCATACTACCACTGAGGGGCACTCTTGTCTTAATTTAACAATTTTTCCTTATCTCTGGTTCAATCTAAATATAAAGAAGTGTAAGTGTACTTTCAAATGTAAGCTCAAAATTGACAGAAATATAAATGCTTTTTAATGGCAAAGCTTTACAGGACTTGAGGAAATTGGAAGAACTGAAACTTATTTGGACCATTTCTACAGTGATTGGTTCAAAATTATTGCAATATTTAAACAAACACTTTATTTAGTCCTACAACTAGTACCAGTGTAGTAACCATTGAATTTTTGGAGGGAACTGAAGACCTTTTATCTATTGCTTCTGAATTTTAGTGAGCCCTGTTTTATGACCGTAATGAAATTGAGAATAATTTACTTTCTTTCTGACGACAGTAAATCTCTACTCTATTGGTGCATGCTGTGGTATTGTGCCTTAGCTCGTACTGTTTATGAGTATGCCAAAGACTGGAGCATTTTGTGATCTTGATAATTATATCTTACAGTTTTTGAGGGTAAATGTACTATTCATTTGAGAATTTCAAGTGGTTCTTGATGAAAGTTTGTTCTGGCCTCAGATGTGATAGAGTTAATTTTCCTTCTAGTAGCTGGTACTGTGCTGTGTTTTGAACTTAGTATGACAATAATGTTATAACACAACGATGTTTTAGTTGTTGCTAGGTAGTGTTTACTCTAAATCAAGGACTTTTCAGTTTTCCATCCTCTGCCAGTGAGGAGGTACATGGCAAACTGGGTGGGGGAGCACAGCCAGAACAGCTGACCTGAACTAGCCAAAGGGATATTCCATACAACAGAACACCACAGCTTGTATATAAACTGAGGGGAGTTGGCTGGGAGCTGCTGATCACTGCTTTGGGACTGGCTGGGCATCAGTCAGCAGGTGGTGAGCAACTGTAGTGTGCATCACTTGTTTTTCCTGAGTTTTATTCCTTTCTCTCTCTCTCTCTCTCTCTCTCTCTCATCATCATCATCATCATCATGATGGTAATAATTATTATTATAATATTTTATTTTGTTTCTATAATTGAACTGTTCTCCTATAAACTGACCAGTTTTATGGTTTTTTTCCCCAATTCTCCTCCCCAGTGGGGAAGGTGGAGAATTGAGTGTCCGGTACTGAGTTGCTGGCTGGGATTAAACCATGACAAAGTTAATACAAAATGTCAGATGAATATGAAGCATATGCTAAAATATTAAGAAATCTCTGCATTGAATTTATCCTGTCAGCTTTTATAAAAAGAGAAGGTCTGCTCCAAGATCTACTGAAAACTGTAGTTCTGTGTTTACAAGCTGCACAGTCATCCTAAATAGAGTTAGTTCAATTTTCTGGAGTCTTTCAAATCTGAAAACTGACCCAAATATTGCCTTGATCTAACTAGAATAATATTCCTGTGGACTACCTGTAAAGCGGTGTTGTGTGACTATGTAATCAAGTTATGGCCCAAGTTATTTTGTTCCATAAAAGAAGTTTGTATATCTTATAATGCTGCTATTTTTTCTTTTCCTCAATCAGTTCTTCTGGAAATAGTAACTTTTGTTAATCTCTTGCTATGAGACTCTGCAGGCTGACGATATAACAAAGGCAGCACATTCCTCTATAACTAATGTTCTTCAAAAATGTTGTCTTTAGAGAGGCACCTTAGTTTCAGAATCTCATGGTATATTTTTATTAAAAAAAAATGAATGAAGTGAGCGAAGTGCTTCTATAGATTAAGACTTTAATTTCACAGCAGTCCCAGCAATGAATTGCTTTAAGAAAGTTCTTCAACCCACAAATAGGCATTTCGTACCATGTATGTGACAACGGAACCTCTCACATTCCAAACCCCTTGAAGATCTCTTATGCAGTTTCTACATTTATGATGGTTGAAAAGGAAAGGAGTGCATAGTGTGGGAGACACTCCCACCTTGATGTCAGAGCAGAAAACAATAAACCTG